TGGATATCACAAAGGTCATCAAATAGCACCTCTTCAGTCGGTATCAGTCTAGGGTACCAGGAAGAGAATAACCTAGTCTGAATGTTTTGGGGGAGGAGCTTTATACCCAAGCTTTTTTTATCTGTTAGGTACCATAATCAATATTTATAATGTGGGAGTTTTTAAGCCGTACTATGTTGCCCATTTTGTATTACTAGGCAATAATTTTTTGTAACCGAAACGAAATGCACGCTCATATGTTCTCATTCGTTTTGTTCGAAACTGTCCTGCAGTGCAGACGCGCTTTAAGTTAACACTCCGGGAGAAAAAGTGTATAATCCACGTTTTAACACGACATCCCACTGATTTTTTTTTAAATTAATCCCGTAAGTTTCCGAACATTCAGAGGTCTCGGTTTTTTTTTGTATGTATGTATATACAATTTAGGTTCTTGCGCCGTGGCGCAAAAAGTTGAACGCGATCGAAAAGAGAATTACGAAAGAGACAGCCTAATCGGAGTCCGTTGGCGAGCCTGCATGATTTTTTTTTGTGCTTATTCCGCTGAAAGTTTTAAGATAAATGTTAAAATCATTTACTTATTATTTCCAGAGTACTTATTGTGTTTTAAGCTTAAAGTTTTATTGCGGCTATCACCGGACACCCGGGTCACCGGGAAGGGTCCCAGGCCAGAGACTAGGGAGCATCTCCTATTCCGTCATCCCGAGAGCCCGCGCTCCCCGCATCAGCATACCTAGCCTCATGGTACCGGAAAATAACCCTATAATGGTTTAAGATGGTAATGGTAATTTAAGTTTTTAATTACTCCTAATAGGAAAACATCAAAGAAATTGGCAAAGAAATTGCCTATGCCCCTGGTATAGGACCTTGCCGACCACTGTTCTATTGTATCACATTATTTATAGGCCACAAGAAAATAGAAAAGCCGAGAACAAGGTGGACGACAAGGTTTTCCAGATTAATGTGTGTCACCGGCATCCAATCAGGTGTCGCTAAACCAAGATAAACTGGCGAGTCATTTCACTGATAAACAAGAAAGAAAAGCTAACTTTGGGTGGAGCCGAAGTTGATATACCCTTGCAGTTAAAACCTGATAAGAATCGAAAATATCGGATATAGTTGTCCGATCCTTATAAGAATAATAAAACCAATTAATTACAATAAAACATCTAAAAAAAAGTCCCAAGCTTCTATCTTCAAAAATACCAACTTTGGTATTTCTACCAAACACCATTTCCGATCGTTCAGTTATATGGCAGCTATAAGATGTAGTCGACCGATCGTTATGAAATTCGGCAGGTCGGATTAACTGATTTAAAAATATACTCTGTATTAAGTTCCAGCTTTCTATCTTCAAAAACATGAAAGTTGGGTCATTTACGATCGTTCAGTTATATGGCAGCTATAGGATACAGTCGGCCGATCCTTATGAGGTATGTCGTAATGTTTTGCCAAAAATAGCTCTTGTGTCAAATTTAATTTTTATAACTTTATAAACACCAAAGTTATACCATTTTCGATCAATCAGTTATATGGCAGCTATAGGATCTAGTCGGCCGATCCAGGCCGTTCCGACTTATATACTGCGTGCAAAGGAAAGAAGGATGTGTGCAAAGTTTCAAGTCGCTAGCTTTAAAACTGAGATACTAGTTTGCGTAGAAACAGACAGACAGACGGACATGCGTATATCAACTCAGGAGGTGATCCTGATCGAGAATAAATATACTTTATAGGATTGGAGATGTCTCCTTCACTGCGTTGCACACTTTTCAACAAAATTATAATACCATCTGCAAGGGTATAAAAATATTTATACTTTAACGCAGACCTGAGCATGTGGCCAACAAATTTTTTTTTTAATTTTTGGCTTAATTCGACAAATGAGAGTTGGTTGCTCTCTACATTCAGCGTATGTACTGCAAACATTAGAAAACTTGCTGAAAATTAGGGAATGAAAATTAAAAATGTTTTCCAGACTGGTGGCACTTCCGCAACCTATAAAATGTATTTAGGTCTAAAATAATTTCATAAGCAGGGGGCTCTACGATTTGCTCAGTGCAGAAGTTCAACTCTCTGACCAATACATTCTCACTTTTGTTTAGCTATCTTCTTGCAAACCACTGTTTTAAAGGATAACAACATCGTCTTCTCCGCGTTGTACTTTTGACAAAATAATAATACTCCATTTTAGACTGTGACACTTAATTGACAAGGTTAAATACCGGTTTCGAACCGATAAGATTCAAACGGTAATTTGCAACAAAATTTCACTAAAGTTTAAAAAAAAACATGTTTCGTTGAGAAAAATCATGTTGCACTGTATTAAAAGTATATATTTGTTATTAATATATTTTTTATAAATATTTTCTATTTTTTATATATATATTTTTATAATATTATATTCTAAATATATTCTACGATCTGGAATGAAAATTCCAGTTCAGCCTAATTCATAAAGCGCTCAGCAGGCCCAAGAACAGCCACATACCAAAACGGAAACTATGATGCTTTCCCTCAAACAAAGTATGATGGAGCTTATGTCGTTCATAAAAACGACCATGCAAACACTTATTCAAAAGCAGAACATGGTGATACAGCTGCTCGTAGCACAACAGTCTAAATAATCTATGCAAGCTTTACGAATATTAATGTGGAACGCCAATGGTGTCTCACGGCATAAACTAGAATTGTCACAATTTTTGAACGAAATTGACGTTATGCTACTGGTGGAAAAGCATCTTACAAGCAAATAAAACTTTCAAATAAGAGGCTATACATTTTACTGCACATTTTACATTTTATATTTTAGATTATCCGGATGGGAAAGCCCACATCGATAAAAATTCAGTCAAGCAACGGAAGCCTTTTAATCGCGGCCGTTAGCTGCCCTCTTCGCTTCCCAATCTCGGATAGACAATTTATGGACTTCTACAACTCACTTGGGGATTGTTTTATATCCGCAGCAGACAACAACGCCACAAGTAGTAAAAGATTTTGTAAACCTAGAAATAAGTCGCTTGCTTGACGAAGGCATTATTAAACCCAGTAAAAGCCCTTTTATCCAATCCAATCCAATGATTGTAGTATCAAAAAAAGGTATCAATGAAGATGGCACACCCAAGCACAATTAGCAAAGATAGATATTCCAGATAGATATCCAATGCAGGACGCGTCAGTTATTTTATTCAACGTATGAAAAGCTAAGTACTTTAGCACATCGCATCAAGATTCAGGACAATGCAGGACACATCAGTTATTTTATTCAACGTATGAAAAGCTAAGTACTTTAGCACATCGCATCAAGATTCCACCAAACCTTTAGAAGGAATCAGACGTAGAAAAAACTTCTTTTTCCATAAACAATGGAAAGTACGAAATCCTTAGAATGCCAATTGGTCTAACAAACGCCCCTCGAGTTTTCCAAGAGAAAATGGACGATATACGACATGTTCCAATACTTAGGGAACATGTTGGAAAATTTTCCATTTTTACATGGATGACATTATTATATTTTTACACTTGCTTGAACAATCCTTTCGGAATTTAAATACATATAAAAATATCATTCGAAAAATCCCAATTTTTTAAACTAGAAATATAATTTCTCGGTTATGTTGAAGCACAAAACCTTATTAAAACCTGCGTTTAGAAAATTTCAAAATATCCACCACCAAAAAATATCAGAGAATACCATTGTGTGGTTTTCTAGGCCGAACAGGATATTATAGGAAATTTTAAAAAAAATACGCTACAATTGCCAAACCAATAACTAGAATTTTAGTAGTTTCTAACAGAACAGTTTCTAAAAGAATGTCAAAAAATTACCAATTACTCTGGACGAGACTGCAATACAGGCCTTTAATGATCCTTAAGATCACCAGACCATCAAGTTCAATCAGATTTTTCTGATTGATCAAAACAGTTCATACAAAACAGTTTATATTGAAGACCGATGCCTCCGATTTAGCGATAGGGAGCAGTACTTTCCCAAGAAGAAAATCTGACTACTTTTATATTTACTCACACTCAATAATACGCAAAGAAATACCGCGACGAACAAAAAAGTACTTTAAGAAATATTGTGGGCGCTAAAAACCCAAAGAAACTATTTATGAGCAGTGTCTGGACCATCAATCACTTTCTTATGAAAATCCAAATGTGGAGCTAAGAAGATGGTTTAATTACATAGAAATCTTAAGACCAAAATTTTCTACTACCAATGTTGTAGCAGATGCTTATTCAAGAATATAAATAAATAATATTTCAGAAGATGATTAGGAACCCAGTGCTTCAGGCACTCAACACTCAGCTGAAAGTAGCTTTGATAACATATAAAGGGAAACAAAACAAGAAAGGTAAGCTTACTTCGGGCGGAGCCGAAGTTGATATACGCTTGCAGTTAAAACCGGAGGTAACATCTCAAACCTCGGATATACCATAGTTGGTCGACCCTTATGAGAATATCATAATATATTATTTTAAATTTATTCAAATAAAAATCTAAAAAAAGTCCCAAACTTCTATCTTAAAAAAAACAAAGTTGGTTGTTTGGTCATTGAGATGACCTTAATCCGCACCAAAATACAAAGACGAATTAGTTTAGTTTTGAAACGATATAAATGTTTATTCTGCATGCAGATGAAGCCGGATGATCAACAGATAGACCAGCTTATGGTGCATGCAGGGACACAATGTTATTTACAGAGAGGGCGGCCCAACTAGCCATTGCGAGCTCAAACTCTCTAAAGAAAGGCCCGTTGATATCGAGCGGCCGAGAGAGAGTCGGCTTGCGACCAACTGAGCGATTTGTACATACTTAAGCCTAATAAATAAATATTGCACTTGATCCTAAATGCGTAGAGCCTTTTTTGTAGTGGACTGTATGTTTTATTGTTCTTGCTAGTTTCGCTGTCTTATTGGTACTTGAAGAAAAATTGGCAATGTTACCATAGGTGCTGCTTATGTCTAAAAGTAGTGTGTACACATTGTTTTGATCTTAATTCTTAAATATAGAGATGGCAAAACTTAATTACTAAGCGATAGTTTCCAAACATCCCGGCCCTTTCCTGAAGCACGGTTTCTGAATGAGGTAGTTCTGCAATTTTCGTTATTGGCCGGGTCAATTCTCCTGTTGCCATCTTGAGCCTTACTGCTCGCACGACGTTGTCCTTTCCTGGGTAGGTTTCGATCACCCTCGCCAGGTGCCATGATGCTGGTGGTGTGTTGGACTCCTTGACGAGCACAACGCTGCCGATCTTGATGTTGGGGGTTTCCTTGGTCCACTTTGGTCGCTGCTGAAGACTAGTCAGGTACTCCTGGTGCCGTTGTTTCCAGAAGCCTTGGTACATCGATTGGATACTCTGCCAGTATCCCAAACGGCCCACAGGAATGTGGCAAAGATCCGCTTCCGGGATCGTCGTAAATGGTCGCCCGATCAGGAAATGGGCTGGTGACAGATAGTTGCTATCTGTATCCGACGTGTAGCATAAGGGTCGTGAGTTGACCACCGCACTGACCTGCGCCAGCAAGGTGCGCATTTGCTCATGTGTTAGTGTGCTGCTTCCAATGACTCGTCGAAGATGCAGTTTAACACATCGAACTGCTGATTCCCACTTTCCTCCCCAACGTGGAGCACGAGGTAGGATGAAGGTCCTTTGGATACCTTCGTCTGCTAGTGAGTTCGCTACGTGATCCTTGTGCTGTGTTGAGTTCAGTAGCTGCTGCACTTCATCCAGGGATCGCCTGGCTCCGATGAAATTTGTTCCGTTGTCGCTGTACATGCGTGTACATTTGCCTCGTATTGAGAAAAATCGTCTCAATGCCGCCAGAAATGTTTCCGTGGATAAGTCGGTGGCGAGTTCTAGATGGATCGCCGATGTAACCATACATACAAATAGGTATATGTATCCCTTGCTGATGCGCGGCTTGCGCACCTTAGCGTCCTTCAGAAGAATTGGTCCTGCATAGTCGCATCTAGTGTTTACGAATGGCAGTGCTTGCGATATACGTACGCTGGGTAGATCTGCCATACGTTGATGCATTGTATGTTGTCTCTGTTGAAAGCACGCCAAACAGTTGTGTGTGATTTTGCGTATCAGGTTCCGTGCGCCGAAAATCCAATATCGTTGCCGGACAATGACGAAGAGAGTTGAGACTCCAGGATGCAGGTTGATTCGGTGCTCATGTTCTATTATTAGAAAAGTGATCCGATAGCGTTTGGAAGCAAAGTGGGATGTTTTGCCTCTGCCGACAACTGTTGGATTCGTCCTCCCACTCTGAGCAGATTGTCCTTGTCGATGAACGGTGAGAGATTAACAATTTTGATTGGTTTCTTAGAGGCTTGTTAGCGAGTAGTAGCTGGAAGTCCTGTTGAAAACCAGCTTAAGCGTGTTGCAGCCATCGAATTCTGGCCGACTTGATCTCGTCAAAGGTGAGAGCAGTTGATGTTCGTTTTGAAGACGGGTGTTTCATGCGATGAATGACTCGCAAACATATCCGAGCGTGTGTATAAGCTTCAGCCAAGATGAGTTGCGATTTAGAAGCTTATCCAAAGGATTGTCCGTTGTGACAATTACCTGCGCAGCAAGGCAGTTAGCTTTGATCTCACTTTGTATGCGTTTGTCTGAAAGTTAAGAACAGTTGTGAGAATTGTTCAACTTTACCAAAAATTGATCCTGGTCCCTCAGCCATGACGGACCCTTCCACCACAATTGGAAGTCAATGAGCTCGGATACTCCCAAGCCCCGGGATGCACAATCCGCTGGGTTCGATTGAGTCCACATGCCGCCATGCATGCCTAGGTATGGTTTCCAAGATCTCGGCGGTGCGGTTCCCAACAAACGTCTTTAGTTGTGCTGGTGAGTACGCTAGCCATGATAGGACTATTGTGGAGTCGCTCGATGCGTAGATAGTCAAATCCTTCTATTTTAATCCAGCCTTGATGGATTGCAAAAGTTGGCTTAGAAGAAGTGCACCGCACAGTTCCAGGCGTGGCAGAGATTGTTGCTTTAAAGGTGCCACCCTTGTTTTTGCTGAAAGTATGGCTACCAAAATGGTTCCATCGTCCTTAACCATTCGGCTGTACACTACGGCTGAGTATGCTTTCGTGGATGCGTCTGAAAATCCGTGCAATTCGATCTTGTCGGTGTCGCTCTCGACCAAGCGTGGTATCAGGAATTGTGGTAGGTTTTCTAAATCTGCTCGCCATTTGAGCCGCTTGTCGGCTAACTTTTTCGGTAGTTCGTCGTCCCAATTCAAATTCAACAGTCAGAGTCTTTGAAATAGTATTTTGAATTGAACTACGGTTGGTGCTAATAGACCGAGAGGGTCGAATATGCGTGACACATCCGACAGCACTTGCCTCTTGGTGCAGCTTGGCCTCTTTGCTAGATTCACATTGTACGACAATGTGTCCTTCTTAGGGTGCCAATGCAGCCTTAGAACCTTTACTGATGAGGGTGAGGAATCCGTTTTATCCTCCGATACAATGTATTTGTTATTCGATACCCATTTCCCGAGCTCTAGCTTAGCACAGGACATCAGTTGGACGAGTTCGTCCCGATTGCGTCGCAGCTCATCCTCACTATTGGATCCAGTGAAAACGTCATCCACATAGAAGTCTTCCATCAAGATTTTTGCCGCAGTTGGAAACTCCTTCTGGTGGTCAGCAGCCAGTTGTTCCAGTACTCGAACTGCTAGGAATGGTGCGCATGATGTTCCATACGTCACCGTACAAAGTTTGAAGTGCTTGATGGGATCTGATGGATCTTCTCGCCATACGATTCTCTGAAAGTTTCTATGTTTTTCGCTCACGCAGATTTGACGGAACATTTTGACTATGTCCGCTGAAAATACGTATTTGTGCATACGGAACCGCAGGCACACAGCAAACAGGTCTCGCTTAATACTGGGTCCGATCGAGAGTGTGTCGTTTAACGCCTTGCCTTTGGCGTCCCGGTATGAGCCGTCGAAGACTACTCTGAGTTTCCGACCCAATACAGGATGATGAGGTAGATAGAAACTCCTTTCGTTGGGAATTTCGCTCGGTGAGATTTCTCGCATGTGTCCTAGACTCTGATATACCCTCATGAAGTTTAAGTAATCTTTACGTAGCTGATGATTTTGTGCTAAACGACGTTTAACCGATTTGAACCGCTGCAAAGCTCCTTGAAGGGTGTCTGCAAATTCAGGATCTGAGGATGTAAAAGGAAGCTCAACGATGTATTTGCCATTATCGTCTCGAGTGTGTGTGTTGAGAAAGTGCTCCTCGACCTCTTTGTCCTCAGGTTGAACTTCTGCCTTGCGATGAATGCTTTCCAACTCCCAGAATCGTCTGAGAGTGGCGTCAATGTCGACTGTTGTTGCGAGAGCCATAGTGTTGTTCGCTCGTGGTGCAAACAGTGATCTGATCACCCATCCAAAAATGGATGAAATAGCGATTAGCTTGTCTTTGTTGTCAAATATCTTTCTCCCAGTAATAGCACTCCAAACATGCTTGCTGCCCAAAAGAATATCGACTGGGCCACTTGTACTGAATTGTGAATCTGCTAGTTGTAGATCGTTGAAGACTTGTCGTGCAGACGCGTCGATGCTCTGCCTTTCCAATGATGGGGTGATCTTTCCAAGCACATGAGCCTGGACTACCAGTTGATCCTCTGATTTACGGGATGGGATGCGTAGGGTGCTGCATCCCCTTGTTATGTCTGCTTTAATCGATGAAATTCCAGTGACTAATATGCGGGATGGCGTACGAGCCAAACCAAGTGCGTGTAAGATAAGGTTTGGTTTAGTTGTGGCAGCGTGTTTGCCTACAACAATATCCACCTGCACAGCTCTTGCAGGAGGGTTCCACCGTGGCACGTGCTGCTCACGGAATAGTGGGTTCTGACGAAACCGATGCGGCAAGTTGCTGCCCACAACTGATCCTCTTCTTGTAAACAGGTAGCCGGGTCGTGGCTACAGTTATTCCTCCAACGGTGATTAGGAATAAAACATAAGACTTGGAAGAGGTGCCTTTATTCTTCGGCTGTCAGACTTAAGATAAGGAGAGCTTAGTCGTAACCCTAACTCGCACAGACCACAGCCGTCGGCCAACGCCCGTCGTAAGACCATATGCGTCGTCCGTCTTCGTGTCCTTATCTTAGATAACCATTGTTAACTTGTATACAGCGTTCAGATACATATGACAGTTCTGAGCCTGTGTCCAAAAGGAGTCGGCATGTTACCAAATCCCCGTTAGCGTTTTGAACGTTGGCCATAGCCGTGGGCAGGGTGCTTCTGTTCCATCCATTTGATTGCGTTGCACTTGCAGTGCCTTGTGCACATACAATTGCTGCGGAGCCTTCTGTTTGTGCTATGTGACTAATAGTCACCGGTGAGATGTGCGCGTTGGGATCATCCTGATCCTCACCAATTTTAGCGATTGTGCCAATTGCGTGTTGCGTACCCTGCAGATGCAATAGTGTATGGTGCTGAGCTTTACAGTGTCTGCAGTTGAACGTTGATTTGCATCTTCTGACCCCATGACCAGGTTTCAGACAATTGTAGCATAGAGATTTCTCCTTGGCAAACGAGATTCTCTGTCCTGCAGACATACCAAAAAAATGTGGACATCCATACAGACGATGTTCTGTGGAATATCATTTGCTGCACTTGTTTCCATCAAGCGCTACCAACGAATGTGTGACCTTCCTTTTTTTGTCACCAACAGAGGCTGTCGTTTTCCCTCCAGTTGTTTCGCGTTTGCTTAGCTCTAGCTCCTCGCAACGCGCATCCAAGAATTTGAAGAATTTCTCTAGTGTGGGTGAGTCTGACTCCACACTGCGCTCGATCCACCTACGTCGAGTATCTGCGTCCAGTTTTTCCAACGCCAGGTAGATGATCCAACAGTCTCGTCCTGTTTCCTCAATGGCATCCAAACCACGCACGATTTCGTTTGCGCCGTCTGACACTTTCCGCAAGGTTGCTGCATCAGACTTTGTTGTTGTTGGCAGCTTCATAAACTGGCCCATAAATGAATTCACGATGTGCCGTGGACGATTATATCTTTCGTATAAGTCGCTCCCACGCTGTGTTGTAAGCTGCATCCGTAATATTTAAATGTCGCGGGATTTCAGATGATGAAATTTGTGCGTATTTGCCAAATTCGCCTTGTTGTGAATTGTGCTCTCGTAAATGTCTTTGAAAGCTGGCCACTCAGAATAGTTGCCAGAAAACTGTTTTATTTGAATTTTAGGCAATTCGCTTTGAGCTGATGCCTCTACGATTTGTGTGGTACCTGGATTCGCCGCACTGACGTTACCTCTTGTATGTCTTGGCAATTGTGCAGTGGCTCGATCTGCCGCCAACTGCTCGAACAATTGTTGTTGTTGTAGCAAACTGATTATTGCGTCGTTATTGATTTGCAGCCCGTTGTTGCCGTTCTCGCTACTCACAGTCGATGGGCTAGGTCTTGTACCTGCCATCGCCAAAAGTAATGAATGCGCCCGTAGATACTTTCCCTCGTAGAACGCGTTGTCTGGCTCCGGATCCACATAGACGTCTACCTCGTCTAGAACAGCTATTTTGTGACCAAATCGAATGAATTCCTTCCATGTTGTGTTGAGATGCTCCAGCCGCGAAGACACCTCCGCCGGTGTGGCGTCTGATTGGTGCGCGTCCTCAGCCCAAGCCAAGCTCCGTGTGATATTGGCCTTGAGTTTGGCGCGTCCTTTCACCAATGCTTTTAATTGCTCCATTGAAGAACAATTACCGTGAGAACCAATGCACAAAAAACAACAAAAACATCCGGCTCGAAGGACCAAACAATGATCCTAAATGCTTAGAGCCTTTTTTGTAGTGGACTGTATGTTTTATAGTTCTTGCTTGTTTCGCTGTCTTATTGGTACTTGAAGAAAAATTGGTAATGTTACCATAGGTGCTGCTTATGTCTAAAAGAAGTGTGTACCCATTGTTTTGATCTTAATTCTTAAATATAGAGATGGCAAAACTTAATTACTAAGCGATAGTTTCCAAACAGCACTAAACAAACGGCTGCTGCCTG